TCAAACCCAACTAAAAGTGTCATTTTCAGTTGAATTTGTCCTAATGTAGACACCTCATTTTGTCGCGTCATGGGTATCATAGTTTGCATGATTCGAACCCAATTAAAAGTGTCATCAAAGTGACGGGAAAAGATTTCGTTACAAACACATGTGTGGTTAAAAGTTTTGCAATAACAACTTCAGACTACAGCGACCAACTTCAAAATGGGAATCAAACTCTTCAAAATTTTATGTTGAGTAAATTGTCGACGCTGAAGCAAAAAAGACTGAGTTTTTGGGCACAATAATTTGGTCAAAGAATTGAAAAACTAGGTGATTTGGGTTACTTCTAGTTATGTTTCAAAACTTATCGAAACTGCAACCGAAATTTAGCTCATTGCATTTCCAGGACTCATTTTTCTCAAAAAAGCAAAATTTTTTTGATTGGTTGAAAAATGAACCACGAGATCGGCGAGAGTGAAGACAAACCTATCACCAAATTCAGATCTTTGTGCCTGGATGACTCCAGAGATTGATATCGAATTCTCCTTAACAAAATTAGAGTGTATTGATTGAATGGTTCAGATGGAAGACGGAATAGTAGTTTCCGAAGAATAGTTGGTTACACTAAAGAGACAATTCCAGTTGTTGTTTAATTTGTTCAAGTTCTAATTTATAAAAACTGTAGCCAGCATGCAAGGATTATGTTCTCTCGAACTAGTCTAAAATCCCAAACTTCAACCAGGAGTTCAGATTGATATAAGCATAATGAAAACGCTAGATGTGAGCTGGACGATTGTGAAAGAGGATACTGGGAAGAAAGTTACCTATTGTAAAAAAAATTGCAAATATCCTACCAGAGTATATTCGGGGGATGCGTGACAAAAAACACGTTCAAATATTTGTACTGTTCATAACACGAATTGATTTTAATAATTCTTCTGTAGAAGCTTCGTCTACGGTGAGGAAAATCTCTCACATTTGGTTGAACAAATACATTTTCAAATGGAAGAAACACCAGCAGCAGTTGATGAACCTGATGCAATAAGAGTAACGAAAAATGTTTATACCGAAACAATTGGATGAAAAAATCATCAAAAACTTGAAACAATGCTATGTAGTCACAAATCTGAAGTACTTTTGTTGTGCAAACGTTCTTAAGTCTAGTTTTACTATATATTCGGTTTTCTTTCCTTTACAAGTTTAAAATTTTAAAAAATTTCAGTTTTTTTCTCAATTTTATCCGATTAAGTTGTTGAAACACTATCAAATCAATGAAGAGGAATTGAATAAAGTGATAGAAACAAGAGTTTTCATTGCAAGAAAATGAATCTCAGGATGGTGAAAAACAGAGTCAACTTTCAATTTTTTGATGAACATAAATCTGGGACCATTTTCTGCGTTTAAAGGATTTGCAAACTGTATTTTTACAAAAAATTAGGGCATTTTTTAGAAAAATCAATGGATTTGAAACTGAAATCAATACAGCAATGGTTTTTTTTTTAATTTTCAATGAAACAAAAGAAGACATCTATAACTGCAAGGAGTTTGATAGAATACCATAATCGGGTAGATACAGAGGGATATGTTATTAAATTTTAGGCATCAACAAAATCGTTAATCAGGTACGAATGATTTGATGACTTTTAGCAACAATCTTTTCAAATTGCTTTGTGTCGTTCTGCAACAAAATCTTTTTGGAAGAGAGTTGATGGCCTAATTTTTTGTTGATGGCGCAATTTACCTACCATATACTATTTTGGACAACTTCTAGTGAACTTTGGTTCGCGTATATCAGATTGTATAAAGTTTTTTTCAAATATAACACAGCCAGGACCAACATAATTATATTTACCTTTATCTTAAGCAGAATCTACTCTAATAAAAAAGTTTTGTTTTTCCAATCTGCAGCATATGGTTCAATTGAAATCTGACCAGCTCAAACAATTAATTAGTGAATTTTCAAATTGCAAGATTATAACACTATTGGCAATTGCTTGCTCAAGGAGTCATTGGAAACATACATCTTAAAATTGCAAACATGGATCGATTTGAAACAGAATATGATTGTCTAATCACTCCAGAAATCAATGTTGTCAAAAAGCTGGCAAAAAGTTTGAGATAAGAATTATTCCATCTAGTAAGACATATGCTTTCTTTTTGTTACAATTGCCTCACAGCCTAATTATATCTGCTGAAGAATTCGTTCTCTTATCTGGACGGTTATTTGTTTATAAACAACCAAAAACTGCCCGTGTTCTTCATGATAACGTTATTGAGCATGAAAAAGCTCAACAATACCAGCTCAGCCGGGTGCAACATTCGCCCAAATACTGCAAAGTGGCGGAGCGTAGACAAAGCACTTATTGACGTCTGGCCGGCGTCACTTACCTACATTCTACCTGTTTTTTACAGTCTAGACCTAGCCAGTTGATTTTCTGGTCTGTTTAGGACTAAGTACAGGGTACCATTTTTAGGCCATCAGTCAAACGACATCTGATCAGCTTTCGTTTACATGTGAAAAGATTCACATAACTGGGTCTCGGATGCCCAGACTACGTGATTGCTATCAAAAACACGGCTCGAATATCATAATTCACTATGTTTTTAGAGACAGTTATCTACTAAATCAATTGGAGATGGATTGACCCTTTCCTCTTTCTAGCTACTCACGCTCTAAAAAACAATATAAAATTGGAGTTAATTCAACTACTCAGGGCCTCACAGCAGCTAAAAAGTAAGTTTTGCAGTCTACTAAGTCTTTGGGTACCAGGCCTCCAATTCCGCTCTCCCTCAGAGATAACATTCCCGATCTCGTGGCACGGGAGGGTACTGATCCGCTCCGGATATCACACTGTACCTTCCTTCCGTATGGTTTCTTCAAGGTAAACGTCTTATCGTGTCTTATTACGATGATAAGAGGCTTCGTGATTCTATCATTTCTTCCAACTGATTCCTATCCTGTCTTGCTAATTCGGTTGTCTGTTTTTTCTGATTTTCTTGCCAAGTATGGCCGTTTTTGCATTTCTCAGAAATAGACCGCTGGGAATCGAAGCTTCGAAAATTAAAAATTCCAGAGTCTTTGACCCTTCTTTTTAATAATAATTGATCGCTAAGGCCTTTATCGTCATTTTTGTAGTGCCGCGGTGGGTTCTATTGTGCCAATGCGGGGGATTGGCACAGGGTTAGACCACTTTTATCTCCTCAAACTATGAAACATCTAAGAAAAAAATGCCCCTCAACAAGAACAGCTCAAACTTTTTAATGGATAATGAAAAAACTACCTGTCGAATGAGACCAGGGTGAAATTTAAGCTATCAATATTTGATTGACAGACTGAAAGCAATTTAGGACAGTTACAATTTCTGGCAGATCAAGAAGTTTATTAGTGCAAAAACCATACTTGAAATCAAAAAAAAATCTTTTTCATTCACATAAAACAGCCCACAAAAAATTTCTACAGTCCGGCATTCAATATTATACTATTTTTTTGAATGTGAAGGAAAAATTCGTAATAAATGAGAACGCCAAAGACTCGGTTCAGTCAGCGTATTTAAACGAGCAAGAAAAACGAGAAACTCGACCATTAAGAGCCCACGTAACATCACCTGCTTGGCAGGAAAGCGAATTTGTAAGCAGTAAGAGAAAAAGCTTCACTAAAACTGAAAATTTCCGTGCCCAAAAATTGAAGAAAAAACTGTCAGAAAAGGCTCCGACTCGCACGAAAAATGCAATAACTGTTCATAACCTCAGAAAATGTGCAAGCGAAAACGAAACAAGGTGAAAATTACCTTTAACCCTAGAAAAATAGTTGAAAATTCATTACAGTAACAAAGGTCCCGCGTGTCGAGCTTTCATCCAAGAAACTACGCGTCTTTGCAAGGCCAGAGTTTACTAAATCGACGAAATTGGTCGCTAGGTCTGGCCTTTAATGACTAGTTTGCCGACTAGAACCATGTTATTAAAAATCTACTTGTTGCAGTTGATTGAATGCCCCCCTATCTCAGAGTGCAACCCCTGAAATCGAAGTGTGCTACTACAACTGCAGAAACGTTTTAACTAATAATTTTTTGACAAACGCAGAAGCGCTTAAGCTAATCAAAGGAACGCTTTGAAGCCTTATATAAAAAAGAAGGCAAAAAATAAACCGCCCAGACGGCGAGAAAAAAACCTCTTCATTTAATTTGAGAAATTTTGTTTATACTACATAGAGGACCCCTTACTTCACATTTACCATAGTTTCAACAGCATCATTGAACCTTCGTAAAGATCACATGCTGGCCAATTTCAAAAAATCTTCCGCGTGAAAAAATCAGATTGCAAGATGAATAGAGAGTAGCAGTTACAGCAACTACCCTATTTACTCAGACAAACAACGTAACTGACAACTAATAGAGAAGCAAAATTGCTGCTTTTGCCTTGCATAAGTTTTATTTTAACGTTTTGTTGGATTGCTGAATAAAGTTAAATAGTAAATCCAAACTTTGTTTTTCTTTCAAACTTTTGTGAAATTAGTATCTGGCAATCAAGAATTACTACGATACACGTTTCGTTAGCTTTTATAATAAATTTTTTGTACCAACAAAAGAGCTATCAAAAAGCTTTGCAAATTTAAAGGTAAAGTTGGCCCAACACTTATTTAAAAAATTTTCGTGATAACTCATTCATTTGAAATGCAATTAGATTTTTTCTCATTTTGAATAAGTCTCAGCGTTCACTCCACCAACATTTACTTAGATAATGGGCTTGCAAGTTTTACGGATAGCACGTTTGAGAAGTTAAAACATGAATTACAATAAGACATGAAGAAATGAGATAGTTATTTCTACCAATTGTTGTTTGCAATAATTGTATCACCTTGTTGGCTTTGTCTAAATTTGTCTTAATGTTAGGCTCACATTAGGTATATTTTCATATGAGCCTTTCCCATTTGTTATTGTGCCAACTTTCTTAGTTTCTTACTTAAGTTTCTTAGTTTTGAAAAATTTTTCAAAGCTAAAACTGATAAAATCGATGCTGAAAACTACATGTTTGTTAAGTTTAATTACATTTTTGGTTTCATCCTTTTTAGGAACCCTCTGCTCAAATCTCCAAGATTAGAAAGAAGTTCATTTTTTCTGGAATACTTGCAAGAAGGTCTATTTGCTTGCAGGAAGCGGTTGTTCGTCAAACCAAAACGTGCAGTTAATAGTTGACGGGCAGTTTCCGAATATTTGGAATTGATTTTGAAGGGAACCTTTCTTGTGTTTTACAACTTGCCCGTTTCTGGTTGTCAATGCATGAGCCAAGTAGTGCTTGCCAAGAGTGATGATTGAGAATTCCGTGAATCGGTTCGACGGCAGTTTGAAACTTGGGATCCGAATAAGTTTGACTGCATCTGGTGATTGGACTTGAATCATTGTAGCTGCCTGTTTCAAAGCACTCATGTTAGCTCTAAACTTTTCTTCCAAGGCCTTTCTATTTTTGATGAAGTCATAGTACAATGCCCCAAAGGTTTTCTGAACCCAGTTGATTGTATGGAAATGATGTACTGTTTCCGCGCCACTGCATTTTTCAGCAAAATCCAAAAAGTCAAATCGATGCCAATAATCAGGCAAGTTGCTCCAATCTATCAAGTAAGGATTAAGTTCTTTTATCTCAGATGCAATTGCCTTGTCGTTTGTGTTGATCGTTTTCACTGTCAAATGGCAAAGGATTTTCTGATTTTGAATAAAGCCACGCAGTTCACTTAACTTTTCTGCAGTTTTCTCGGCAATTAATGCAACCAGGGACGTTTGGCTCGGCAATAAACTTTTGCAAACTTTGAGAACGTCAATCGAATCGAAGAAGTTCTCAAAATTAGGAACTTTAATCCAATCATCGTTCCAATCAGGAAACATCGTGCAGTTTCCACATACTCCATTTTCATCTGTGAAGAAACATCCTGTAAATAAATAGCGAGCCAAAGCCAATCTGTCGGACTCCGATTTCAAGTTATCTAACAGAATGAAATCGCAAGTTTTTTGGTATTTAAGAAAAGCGTCTTGAGCAAATTGGACTTTCATTCCTTTCTTGCGCTTCCAGTTTTGAGCGTGTTTTGAAAGCAGTTCATTTCCAATCTTGGGAACTTCAATTTCCAGAAATTTTGCGAAATCTTTTTTAGTCTCTCTGTCCCAACAAGTTGAAAACCAAACTTGAAGAATCGTTTTGTCTTTCACTTTTTTATTTTTCATCATCTCATAAATCAAAAAGCTTCTTGCTATTGTTATTTCAGCCTGATCGTAGCCATGAAAATGCAAAACTCCTTCTTTTTCAGTTTGAAAAGATCCCCATAAAAGTTGACTAAAATCAACGTAACCAAAAAAGACATAATGTCGATCAAACTCGAAAAAGAGCTCCTGGTTCGGGCTATTCCGTAATATCTCTGAGAATTTCAATGTGAACTTTGACTCTCCAAGATCTGTCTCGGTCGCGTATGGCTTGTCCCAAATGTCGCCGACTTTCAAGTCTTTGTTGCGACTAAACTGAAACAGCGAAGACTCACAAAAAGTCTTGTTTTTTTCAGTTACACCCCATCGCTTCAGTGCAATTTCCGGGTCAAAATCTTCGTCCAAAAATACATCCTGGCCGTCCTCTATTCTTCCAAATAAAGCAATGCTTGATCTTCGATTATCAATAAGCTTGGAAACATGTTCGAAGTTTCTCGGATATTTACGCTTGTACTCCATCGCGTAATCTGGTATTAGGTACGAGTAAGTTTCTACTAACTTTTCAACTTCACGCCGATTGGAATCAAAATTAGTCTCCAATCTGATAGGAAAATTGTTACTCCTGGCTGCAGCAGCTGACTGACTTTCAGGGAGATATGATAGATTTGATGAATTTTTTTGAGATGAAAGCTTACAGTTACTTTTGTGAGTTTTCCAATCCTTCTTCTGGCACTTCTGAAAAAATTTTAATACAAAACTTTTCAAAACTTTTTGAAATGATCGAATTTTGAAATTACAGAAAACTTATAGAAAGGTCGGCTAGAGGGAACTTTTTCATGGCATTTTCTAATTAACTGATTTTATTAATCTGATTTCTGCTAATGTTGTGTTAGTCGACCAATTTTGAAAGAAGATCAAGAAAGAGAAAAACAAGTTCAAATAGACATTTTCAAATGGTTTTTAACAGAAAAAGGGTGAATTTTAAAAAAATGTTGACCACTGAGTCATTTGAACAAAAAATTTTGTCGTTGGTCAGCTCGGGTAATAACAACAATCGACCTAATTGGTTTTATTCAAAGAATAGAAAAACACTCAGAAGCCGTTGACTACCAAGAAAACCATAAGACTCATCATTTAAAGATTGTGGGCTTGTTGTCAAGCCAGCTCTTAGAGGCTTCATTCTACTCCTCGCATCGGTTGCTCAACTTTGGGAGGGGGGAGGCTAATTGCAATTGTGGGCATTTGAACATATCACAGACTCGATTGATGCATTATTGTTTCTTGAACGTGTTCATTATGCCCTCAATTGTCACTTAACCCCTTAATTTTTTTAAAAAAATTATGGCTCTTCTTCCTTCCCCCCACCTCACATAAGCTTCAATATAAAGAGTGGTTTTACGAGGTTGAGTTTGAAATCAAATATGTTTGTCGTGGCCTTATTAGTCTGTATGTAAATTTTCATAGCAATCGGACAATGTGGTCAACAAATTTACATGTAAAAATTTTCAGGTGGAGGGAAAAAGAAAAAGAGCCAAAGTTTTTATTCTGTTGACTCAGGTGTGTTTGAGAATTCATCTATTAAGAATGAATCAAAGCTAGTTATTTTGGCAAAAAAAGCCATTGGTGGGCGTAGCGAACCCGTTGTTTAACGGTTTTTGCGTACTTCAGGTATTTCAAGACTTTTGTATGGGGTTACTATCACAAGAGTGGGCGACACTTTGGTAGTGGCCTAAGAATCGAATCCTTCAATAAGTTCTGAGGCGTACCTGGCTCTTTTCCAGTCCCCCCCCCCATTTCAAATACCGAGTTTTTTGTTTGTTTTACGAGTTATTACGGCTAAATGCGTGATGTTACGCTGTAAAGTATGAAGAACAAGTTTGTTCAGAATTGTCGATTTGTTCACCACGCCAAATTTATTTGCATTATGACAACGTTAAATAAACTTTTCAGTATTGAATTTGAAAGGGGGGTACTGGAAAAGAGCCGCGTACCTATCAATGACCTAATTTTCCTTTCATCTGGTTTTCTTATTCAACTACTGTAAAACGTGTACACGTGCTCAAATACTAAGACGAATCATAATTTTTGTCTCAAATTTTGCAATGATAAGAAATCAACTACCATAAACCCAATCAGGAAATGGCTCGGCTCTTTTTCCTTTTTACCCCCACCTGCAAATTTTTTCATGTAAATTTGTTGACCACATTTTCCGATTGTTATGAAAATTTACATACAGACTAATAAGGCCACGACAAACATATTTGGTCTTCATACTCAACCTCGTAAAACCACTCGTTACACTAATATATTGAAGCTCGTGTGAGGTGGGGGGGGGGGGGAGGAATGCAATGCAAATTGGCATGGTGGACAAATTGACATTTATAAACAGATTTGTTCTTCATACTTTACATCGACACATAACGCATTTAGCCATGATAACGTGTAAAACAAACATAAAAATCGATGTTTTGAAAGGTGGGGGTGGAAAAGAGCCAATAACTTCACTCAATCATGAAACGGTGATTCGGAAAAACTTGAGAATTATGAGACAGGACCACATGATATTGTGACTATTTAAGCTTAATCTCCAGTTTTGCCTAATTTTTTTCTTCTGATGCTAATAAAGACTTGGGCTCTTTTTCCTTCTCCCCCACCTGCAATTTTTTACATAAAAATTTGTTGTTAAGACTGTCCGATTGTTATGAAAATTCATATACAGGCTAATAAAGCCACGAAAAACATATTTGGTCTTCATACTCAACCTCGTAAAACCACTCGTTACACTAATATATTGAAGCTCGTGTGAGGTGGGGGGTAGGGAAAAAGAGCCAAGACTTGAAACTGCTATTTCTCTACCTATTTTCTCTAGTTCTTCGAGTCACTTTTCAATTGTATAAACAATTTGGGCAAACATAACATGCTTACTACAAAATTAACAAAGCTAAAATGTGAAAGCAAATAAGCCATCCCAAAAAAATAGGGCAATAAAAGTTTCGTAAAAAAATTAGGCTCTTTTTCCTTCCCCCCCCCCCCCACCTGCGAATTTTTACATGTAAATTTGTTGACCACTTTATCGGATTGTTATGAAAATTTACATACGGACTAATAAGGCCACGACAAGGCTCTTTTCCAGTTTCCCCCCCCCCCTTTCAAAATACCGAGTATTATGTTTGTTTTACGTGTTATTACGGCTAAATGCGTGATGTTACGCTGTAAAGTATGAAGAACAAATCTGTTCAGAATTGTCGATTTGCTCACCACGCCAAATTTCATTGCATTATGACAACGTTGAATAGACCTTTTAAAATTGAAATTCAAAGGGGGGGAAACTGGAAAAGAGCCCACGACAAACATATTTGGTCTTCATACTCAACCTCGTAAAACCACTCGCTACACTAAAAAAATGAAGCTCGTGTGAGGTGGGGGGGAGGAAAATGAGCCAAAAATTATTGTGCCTCTACTCGTGTATACGTGCTCAAAAACTAAAAAATAATAATAAAAAAAATTGGCTCTTTTCCAGTCTCCCCAGCATTTAGCCTCCAGCATTTAGCCGTATTAACACGTAAAACACATATAACACATAAAACTCTGAAGGGGGTATTTTGAAGGGGGGACTGGAAAAGAGCCAATAAATTTTGTCTCAAATGTTTCACGATAATCGTTGAAGAAAACTGGAATAGAAACCAAGTTTTTTACTTTTTTGCCCACAATTTTTGGGTTAGCTGGTTTGTCTTTACAATCAAATAATTTACACATACCACCAGTTGTAGCCAAAAGTCTCTGAGATTGAGTTTTGGATTTCCGATGCAGTTACAAATTATGCAAGTAAATTTCAAAGAAGTAAATTTCAAAGAAGATGAGAATGCAGTACTATTGAACGAATGAAATTAGATTCTCATGTAGGTTTTGAAAAATTGTCTGAAAAACAAAATTTAAGAGGAAAATCTGAAAACTTTTCTAGAAAATGAGGCTCTATCTCACAAAAAACTGAACTGAAAGTCCTTGATGATGAATATTTTGAGACGCATCCAAGAAAACCATTCTGACAAATCTTTAAAAGAAACACTCACTTTTCGTCCTTTTGTACGAGAAAACTAACAAAATTCGGGTAAATCCAATTTTCAGCGACAAGCAAATTCTTAGGGGATAACATTTTTTTTTTTAAAAAGCGAGCAGTTACCAAAATCAGGGGCGGATCTAGGATTTTCTCGAGGGGGGGGCCGGATTTTCAAAAAATTTTAAATTTTCCAAAATTTTGACGACCTTTTTTTTTTTAGGTCGACCAAATTGATTTTTCGAGCTCTCCCAAAGCACTGTTTTGCCCATATTTTGGCAAAATTTTCAGTGCCGCAGGCAAATTTTTGAAAAAACAGTATAACAGTCAAAAAAGCCGTTTTTGCGCACTTTTTGAAAGATTTTGACAAAAAGTAGCGTTTTTTTGGCGCGCGCTCCCCCTCAAAGTTAGTATATATTGGCGCCGAAGGCGCCTTTAGAAAAATTTTAGGGTCGGTCGGCCAAAAATGGATTTCTGAAAAAGTATCAAAGGGGGGACCCTTTGGGTCGGCAGGGGTCGAATCCCTGATGGGGGGGGGGGGGGGTGGGGGCGTCCGCCCCCCGCTCCCCCCTCTAAATCCGCCCCTGACCAAAATGATAAAAACTCAGTCCGAATATCAAATTTTTGGTATAATCACGTTGTTGGGGGCTATTTTCATACATGTAAATGCAGTAGCCGATTTAGGGGGGGGGGGGACAGACGCCTCTTCCCCCCCCCCCCTCAGGGATTCGACCCCCTGCCGAGCCAAAGGGTTCCCCTTTGTACTATTTTGAGATATCTATTTTTGGTGATCTACCCTAAACTTTTCTAAAGGCGCCTTTGACGCCATTTATACTAGTTCTTGAGGGGGGAGCGCGCGCCGAAAAAACGCAGTTTTTTGGTCAACATTTACTAGAAACTACTTTTTTGGCCTGTTTCTTTCAAAACTTGCCTGCGGCGCAGAAAATTTGGTCAAAATGTGGTATTTATAGTGATTTAGGAGAGCTCAGAAAATCAATTTGTTCAATTTTTGAGTTTTTTGGAATTTTTGAATTTTTTTTTGAAAATCTCCCCGTCGATAAAATCCTAGATCCGCCCCTGTATAAATGTGTTTGTTATCTGTCTGTTTTTTATCAATTTTGTTTTTTAAATAAAACAGAATGACCTTCACCTTTAAGAAACTTTTTTGTTCGTCAAAACCCGATTTTGAGGACTCTTCAGAAACTGTTGGCAACCACAAATAAAAAAAAAACAAGCTTGTTCAGGATGTTTGAAGGATTTTTGATCAAACTAAAAAACTTTTACAGCAACCCCCTTTTTGACGAACACAAACTATTTTCCTAAATGTTTCTGCGGAGAAAATCTGATTTTTTTGAAAAAAGAATTCAATAGTGCCGAAGTACAACAGTGCCGAAAAATGCAAGGTTGTTCAATTGTGCTGGAAAATGATAATTTTTGGCACTGCTGGAGAAGATCTATCCGGCACTGTTACATTTTGCTACTGTTGAACTGCCTCTTTTTAGAACATTATTGCGAATCGTTTTTTTACATTCTTTTTTCCTTCCAGTTAGTTGAAATTTGGTCCTTAAAATAGCTTTAAAAAACTTTTATGTTTAGTTGTTCAAAAATGGAGACTTTTGGATCGACCCAAAAATTGGGTCGATATCTTTGGGTTAATTGGAAATAATTTTGGGTCGACTCACATCAATTAAGTGATTTTTTAATAATTTGGACGTTGGTCAAAATATGATGTATCAGTAAACGGAAAAGGGCGGACCAGATCAGTAATTGGAAAATCCATAATTTAATTACGTAATTACGCATTATTTGATTAACTCATTACAAGGGCAAACTGTGGATTTTGAGAATTGTGAGTGGATTCCGCTACAAGGACGCTACCTTTTTTCTTCTTTTCTTCATTCATTTCCTTTGATCGTTCCGACAAAATTTTAACATGTTTCAAGACATGTCTTACATGTCACTGGAATCCAGGAACATACAGACACAAAATTGTGTGCCTATCCAGTGCACAGTTTCGCCTCGTAATTATAATCATTTATTGACTCATTTAATGACTCTGAGAATTGAGGTTTTCACAATCTGACAAATTCTCCCCTCAAACAAAAAGTTTAATCAAAAACCAAACTAAATAACTCTTTTTCTGAGCGTAAGTTTGAGTTGATTGTCTTAGCTCTGAAAATTATTATTGTGTTTCAGTATAGTGATCATACGCATTCTAGTTTAGACGTAAAAAATCAATTGTAACGGATTATTATGATTGTTTTTGACAGTTTCAAAAATTGATGATAATTATAAAAAAAATTGTGTTTAAAGGATTTACAATCGATTATAATCGTGATAATTTCCAGCAGATTATAATCTATTATAATCGATTATAATTGCATAAATTTCATTCAAAAATTCTTTAAAGCAATTATATTCGATTATAATTGATTGCAATCTCCTATTTTGTCAGATTTTCCTTAAACCAATGGTAATATTTGATTAAACCCAATGAGTTATTATTTTTTGCGAATAAAAAATCTCTAAAAGCAAGATGTCTTGTCACACTTTGGTTCATCTGAGCACAAAGTTTTAACTCGAAACAAAAATTTAAGAGAAACCCTTCCGTATTGGTTTAAAGGTTCCCGTGGTATGTGAAACATTAGTCTTCTGAGTATATTAGGAAATTAAAGCAACAATGCTGATATTTTGGTGGTTAAAAAAGCTTAAGATGTGCGATGGTTAAAAGAAAGTAAGCTTCAATGGAGAAATGGAAAAATTTAAAAATTATAAATTTGAATTAATTTGAAAACATTTAGAAAATTTCTCACATTTTTCACATAAGCTAATATCTGCAAAAATCATAATAGAAGAGCAAGCCGGAAGCAAGGTCGGACACAAAATGAGGAAACAGAAGGGATTATAATCGGTTATAATGCTTTGTTTTGTGCACAACACATGAATTAGAAACTGGAATAACAATAATCGATTATAATCGAATATAATTGTAACGAAAAATAGATGAATCATCAATTGATTTTGATCGATTAAAATGTATTAAAAATGATTATAATAGGATTTAAAAAAGAAAGATTATAATCGATTATCAATTGATCAAAATCAATTTTTTCTCAGTTTTACTTAGACTGCTACTCAAATCATAGTATAATTGAATATAAGCGCTCGAAACTGGATGCGGGCAGATAATTTACTGACTCGTCGGTTTACTGTCCGCATCCAAGTTTAGGCGTAAATATTCTATTATAAAGGATTAGTATGATGATTCTTCGACAATTAAAATTGATTATACTTACCAAAATAGGGTTTTTAAAGGATTTATAATTGATTATAATCGTGATGTTTCCCAAGAGATTATAATATCTTATAATCGATTATAATTAATTATAGTTCTTACAAAAAACCCTTAGACTCAATTATAATCGATTATAATAGATTATTTAAAAAAATTTGCCAAAATTTTGTCAATTCAAAACTATGTTTGATTTATATTTTAGAGGTTATTATTTTCGTGTCAATAAAATTCTCTAAAAGAGAGATCTCTTGAACACTTTGGTCAATCTGAACACAAAGTTTTACCTCGAAACAAAAATTTCATAGAGATTTTTTCATATTATTGGAAAGATTCCCGCGGTAGATGAAAAACAAATCTTCCGAATCAATCAAGAAACAAAATCAATTAGCTGATGTTTTGGTGGTTAACAAGCTCAAAACATGCATCACAAAACAACTCTAATGGGGAAGAAATGAAAAAAAAACCTTAAAATTTTGAATTGATTGGAAAACTTTAAAACCATTTTTCTCAGTTTTCATAGAAACCAACGTCTACAAAAAGCTTATAGTATAAGCTATTTAGATGCAACTTCGAAGACAAAATGGACAAAAAAAATTTTAATCAGTTATAATCGATTATAAAATTATCAAAAAATTGACGAATTAATAATTGATTATAAAGAATTATAATTAATTAAAATTTGATCTTAAAAAGGGAGATTTTAATCGATTGTTATATGATTAAAATCAATTGTTTAACAATTTTAGTAAGACTGGTGATAAAATTGTAATATAATCGATTATTAACGCTTGAAACTGGATGCGGGTAAATGCATTTATCCTGGCTGCAGTTTTTCGAGATTCATTTTTGCTCTATTTGGAACAAAAAGACTTTTCATTTTGAAAAAAAACTTTAAAAAATAAGCTCGTATTTGATTTGATATGATAGAAGGATGTACCTGCGAGCAGTAGAAAACTGTTTGGCAACCAGTGCATGCTCTGGCATTACTCTGTTGACAAACATTGCAAGTTGACAATAATTCTCGATAAGATGTTGAAAAACTTTGTAACCATGTTGAACTTGGTTGCGTCAGCTCCTGATTCTGTTGCTGATCCATGCTCAACTTTTTGTTTGAATAATGATGTTTTTTGCAACAAAAAAAGTAGCTGTGATGGTGAGAATGTAAAGCACTTTTGCGTTAAGTTTAAGCAACGAACTGAAAGTAAAATTAAGCAAAAAAATAACAATAAAAGCACCATATAAAACTTGTGATTTAATTTGTGAATCAAACATGTTAAAGCAAGAGGCGCACCATGAAAAATGGTGCTTTGCAAATGAGTCGACAGAACATGAAGGCAAAAAATAAAAGACAAAAGACAACGAAAAGTATAAATTTTATTTGATGTTATCGTTGCCGCGTCGAGATACCGCTCAAAAACGTTCTTATACTTAACTTACCCATAAGCTTATGAAAATCGATATTTTTTGTTTTTCTGCTCTTGGACCCAATCTGCTCTTAGAATATTCTGCTCATTGACTGGCCACCGAGCAAGCTAATGAGAAAAAAATTGTTATTGCATTCAGCTTGTATACATTCGATGGGCTTACTATTTCTCAGAAGTGCATTTAAATAATTGTGTGCATATAAAACTAACGTGAGAATAAATAAATAAGACGAAAGGACATTAGATCGACCCGGAATCAAGACGACAAAAGAGCGTCAAAACATTTAAATTGAACCATTTAAATTCTGGATGCTGATGTTTTCTCAGAGATACCATAGCGAAAATGCATGTATCGTAGCCTATCGTTCAATCTGTATATCGTTTAAACACCATCAGAAATGGTTGTCGTCGTATTTGTTGGATATACGTGTCCAAATGTCCGAACGAATACGGTTTTTGTCTTTATTGTTTTTGTTTTAATTGTCGGACAACATGAGTATTGTTTTGTAGCATTAGGTACAACATCACGTAAGTACACAGATAAAAAATCTCACAAAATTTAGGTTTCTATATCTCCGACCGTTTTTGCGATGCGTAAATTACCATATTAAACCGCAGATAATTCTAAAGTTAATCTCAAAAATCTTAGTTTTAGAACGGTATCTCAAATATACATAGATTATTTCCTAAGTTTTCTGCCTATTAACTTGTTTTCTTACACTGATCTACATACTGGCTCTGCACATTCGAGTATATATACATTCTAAAGTTGTATTTTGCAAATTTATCCGACAAATTGTCGTTTGATGCAAAAAATCGTATAAAATACACATTTTTTCAGTATATCGAATGATTTCACACTATTAAAAATAATCGTGTTGAGTTAGGACCGATGTGGTTAACTCATAGAGTAATTTCGGATAGGGTACACCGTCTGCTCGTCACGCTATCTTATTTTCGGCCGGATAGATTCGTGCAACTTCTTTGTCTAATACCGATCCTAATCTTACTCTTATACTATCTAGTCTCAGGGTGTTTAACTAGTCTCTGCTAGGCTCAATAGATCTAGGGTATACTGGTTTATTGCGGCTGCTGAAGTTCTCTTGGAGAGGCAACTAAGTTCTAAGTTAAATTCAAATCTCTCTGGTGCTGAAATTACAAGTAATTTCAGCACTTACAAATAAGTGGGTTGTTAGTTAGATGGATCATGATTGGTTAATATTAAATACTTTACAGTGGTAAAATATCTAATTTATCCAATCATAAAATATAGTTTAGATCAGGTTCCACCCATCCGGGTTTTACAGAGTTTTTTAGAATTATCTTTCTGCAATTTAAAGGATGGATGATGGACGTTGGTATTTGGCGAACATCGTGTTCTTGTCCGGTTTCTCTTGTTAGAGAAGTTCCAGGACGCTGGAGTGAGGGGCATCAATCGTTGTGTCTTCTTATGACAACGATGGTGTTTCCCAATGAAATCAATCTGATTTCAGAATGGTTTGCTATGACGGGTTTTTCTGTTTTATGTAGAGAACTTCTTTTGTGTTCGACCTCGTCTGGGAATGGCGTGGAGATTGTGCGTGGAGGGAATGCCTTGTAACTCGGATCTGTACGTATACTTGAACATCGAGGTGGTCATTGGTCTAGTTCAATGAAGTCCTTTTCTGCGAAGTCAAGTGGTTCTCTAAATCCTTTGAGTTTGTGATTGTGGACGGCATATCGGTTTGTGGTTGGCCATTCTTTTTTAAGTGTAGTGGGGTCATTTTGTCTTTGGATGTTCGTCTTTGTTGTTGTGTGCTGATCTATATACTGCAAGGTATAGTTTACATTTTATAAAATTTTTATTAGTTCAGTTTTTAATTATGATTTTGGTTAGCTGTTTTCACAAAAGCATTTTGTTTTAGTTCGGTTATTTTGAAGAGTTACTCACCCTTGAGTGCCTCTTATTAAAAATAGAAGTGTGGTTACAAAGCGTGGATGTAGCGCGGTGGGTTAGGCCGGCTACAGAGCATGCTCAGGACGTCCTCTCTGGTGGGTTAGGCCAGGAGTGGGAGTATGATTTCGTGCGGTTTCTGTGAGAGGTCCTGTTATGTGATAACATTTTATGTTGGGTTTATGGTGGTTTTTCTTATGTTTCGTTGGTTGTGTCCTTTTTTAAAAAATCAAATTGTTTTTGGTATGGGTTTGTCTTTCGACTTTTTTGTGTTTTGTTATTTCTTTCTTAGACTTTATAATAGTCTTCAAAAAAATAAATTATCCAGTTTTAAACTGCGTTAATCCGGTTTGGGTACCGTTGGTTTTCTTTTCTTAGTCATGCTGTTATTCTATGATTTGTGGTGTTTAGTAGGCTGCGTTGGTTAGTTTTGTTTAGTATATAATTCCTTTCCAACCGGGTTAAAGGAAAGTTTGAAACTTGTTATCGCGTGTTAGAGTTGTTGAGTGTGAAAGCTTGAAACTGAAATTCATTATTTAAACAATTCTTCGTGGGCGAGCTGTGCGAGTTTGGATAGAATTCTTGTGCGAGTGAATGAAAATATCAAAAGGTTAGTACTGCATTTTCATTTTATCAATTTACTACATAGAATTTTAATTTTACTGCTTGTTTTGGGGAAAAATTAAATTACAAATTTTCATTTTTTATGAAATTTACTGCTTTTGGGGAAACAGTTTATAAATCAATTTACTACATTTACTATAAATTTATAGTTTATCTTGTGGAAAATATTAGTGAAGTGAAGAATTTTAACAAGTTTATTTTTTATTTTGCTTTTTTGTTTCTTCAGTTGATCCTGGTATGAAGACTAAAGATCTAAATGAAACATGAGTAAAGAATGGTTAGTATTTATTTCAAATTTATTAGTGAAAAATATGTATAAATTATACTTACCTGTTAGTCGTCGGGGAAAAAACCGTGGGGGAAGATGTCGTGTATTATGTCGGAGTTTGTTAGTAATTTTGCTAGTATGCGAATGATGTTTTTAGTTTGAAGCAGTGGCCAAAGCAATTGAAGTGCTTTAATAGTTTTTAGTTCTTCAGTGCCAACTGCAAACTCATAAGGTGTGTTTTGAATGAGGTTATATAATTTGTGATTGTATTTAGTGTTGTGGATGAATTCTAATATTGGGATTTCTATAGGTTGGATAAATTCATGTGGGATAAGGAAGGGTCTGGATTCTTCTGCGTTAAAGGTCTTCGTGATGGGACAAAATATATACATTTGGGTTATGGGATCATAATTGCGGAGGATGCCGTGAAAGTTAGTATCTTTGATGCAATATGTGAAATTAAGAAAAAATGGTGAAGTGTATTTAGAGTTAAGAAACTGAAAACGGTGGTGTGGTTGTCTAGATGGAGTGTGTAGGTCAAAATGATTTTGTATGAAGCGATAATATGTATATGTGTGGGTTTGTTTAGTGCGTAACATAATGTCGTGTGAGCAGTGCAAATCGCGTTCATGTGGTGCAAGGAGGTGGAAGGTTAGTGAAAATAATTGAAATTTTTCTTTAAAACTTTCGTAAGCTTGCATGTCGGTTAGTGCTTCAGAAATGATGTGGTCAAATTTTCGATCAAATATATTGAGTGTAAATACATATGGTGTTTTGATGAAGAATTTTTCTGTTAGTTGTGGGTTAGCGAAGCGATCATCATCTAAAAATTGGTCTTGGTTAGTTCGTATGATGTTATGATCGTAATATTCTAGCGTAAATTCGTTAGCTCGGGGTGCAGTAAATGTTTTTAGTGATTTTTTATATCCTATATAAGTAAATTGTCTATGTGTTAGTGGTGTGGTGAGTCGATATAGCATATCTTGATTTCTTTCTATATCGTCATGAGTATTAGATAATGGTAGGCAAAGGGGATTAGTAAAATGATAATATGTTGTCCAATGAAGTGTAGGCATTAAAACATGTTCATCTACAAAGCTACGTGTGTCGTTAGTGTCATGAGGGGTGTTTAAAGTATATTGTGGAAATGAAGGTAAGGTGATTGCTAGAAAATCTTTCGTGTTAGTGTGATGTGGATGATTAATGTATTCACGGGCTGTTCCTGGTTTGGTTGGGAATGGATGGTTTGGGAATTTTCTTTTAAAAGTGCGATAAGCTCTATTAGTGCTTTTTGATGATTCGGTGGAAGTGGATGATTGTGCTAATGATGCAGAATAAGCTGAAGAGGGTGTAGGGGTAGGTGGGTTTGAGGATTCTATTGTGGAAGAAATCTGATTTATAGTGGGGCTGTTAGGGTGTAATAGTTGTTGTTGTAGGGTGATAAAATTATCGAGTTCTTGGGAGATTTGGGGAATATCTGGAGAATTGGATGATCGGTCTGAATGAAATGAAGAGTAGGTTGGGGTGACTTGTGAAGCATAAGAGGGTGTAGAAATGGATGGGAGTGGGTTATTTGGTGGGATTGATTGAAAAGGGGGTTTTGAAAAAATTGAGGAGTTGGTTTGAAAATTATTGGATGGAGATGGTTCATCAGGGGTTTCAATATTAGGGTTATTGAGTAGTGAAATGGAGTGTAAAACTGAAATATTTGAATTAGTGTCTGAATTCATGCCTGATGTTATATTTATAGTTGGGAAATCGGGTGGCGGGAAAGCAAAAAGTGGAATTATTGTAATTGGAGTGTTGAGGTTGGTTGGATGGGAATTTGAGCGGTGTAGGGATCCAAGTTGTCGGCTCATCGTGGGCTAAAAAAATTATTATTTTGAGACTGAAAAGCGGTGGTATGGGGTTGTTCGATAATTGGTTCATATGTATTTTCATCTTGTGAATGATGTGTTATTATATGTTGCATGGGACTT